TTATCCAGGAAAAATAATCAAAGATAGTGAAGAATCAATAACCAGAAATCACTATTGTTTACTTACACTGGGAAATACCTACAAATAATACATTTAATTTTATGTAAGATTGGGGATTCGAGAATGCTTCCAGTGCGTTGGATGTCGCCGGAGAGTGTCAATCGTTAAAATGGGCATTTTTGCTTCAGTAATTGATAACAAAATATTAATAGTTAAAGAGTTATAGATGAAAGACTTTTGGCCCCTCTGAGCTGTACATTTGATTATTTTATGAAATTAGAAGTCTTTATTGTGCAATGTTTTAAGCTTCCTTAATAACACGATTTTGTCGTAAACATTAGCGCACTTTTATCTCCTGGAAATTATGATAATTTTGTACCACTTCCAGCAATTACAGATGTGCACTTTTAAGGTTTAATCCTCTGCATAGCACGAACTGTGCGTTGCCCATATCGGTTATTTAATAGCTGGAAACATTAAAAAGAAATATCGAGGACATTCTTTATGTAAACTTGACGGTGTGCAGAAACCGAACAGATCAATAAATAATGAAGTGAAATGTAAGCAAAACAATATCTACCATAGAATTTTAGTTATATATACGGTACAAAACACGTATCCCTCCCTATTATTTATATGCAAATTAAATGACATCACATTTATATGTATACAAATGTTTTGTTTCTCTTTTGTTTAATATCGTTAATTAATTTTATTCAAACCCTTGTCGTATCTAGAAAATCTTCTCCACGGTAAAATATCCTCTCGAAGATCTACTGTATAGTATATTCCAGGTAATTTTAGGTAAGCAGATAAAAAATATACCAAGTCTAGTATAACAAAATTCTTGTATATTTCGTTGTTATCAACAATCAAAATTACCACGATGGACGTTTTTAATTCCGAATTATGAATAATTATTCAGAATAAGGGGGATGATTTTCAATGTATGGGGAAATGCTTGTTATGTACATGTATAAACTTTCCCCGGGGAAAAAATTACTAGAGTTTGCAGTAACCTGCTAGCAGCCATTCCGATGAGGAAGCTTAAATATATAGTATACTTTCCAGGCCCGTAGGAAGCAATTTCACTTTGAGGGGGCACAACAGTACATTTTTCAGTTGGGGGGGGGGGACTATCCACTACCAAAATTCCCTGAAAAGCCAAAAAAAAAAAAGGCATCAGACGTTATTATTGAGGGGGTACAAAATAAAGTAGCTATGTTTTCTGTATAGTATTCTATATATCGGCAAAATTATTGAGGAAGGGGGGGGGGCACGGCCGAATAAATTACGAGTAAATTTTGCAAAATTAACTGTATGTTCCATCAGTTTGATATCATTTCTTCTCCGCCTCATATATCCCAAAAATCTCAGAGATAGATTTATATATACACTTCCACATTACATCAACACAAATATATTATTATTTGGTGACCAAAATCTACCACTGGCAGAAAATGTTGCAATCTTTAAATCTGTCCAAAAATATATTGTAGCAACCAAGAGATTTATTTAATCAGTTTTTCCTTAGTATCTATTCACTACTCCTCCTCCCGTGGGTATGTTCTTGTGTATATTCTCTTAAGTGTGTGTAGCAAGCGTCATTTTTATTTATTTTTCTCATTGTTATTTTTCTTCTCAATTCTGAATTAATATCTGTTACTGCTGTAAATCTCCTGTATTTGTTCTTTATTATTTTTCCTATAAATTCAACCATATTCTGTCACTTTTTTCTCTCTCATACATACATATTGTACAAATCCATTAGACTTCTTCTGTATAATTAGAAAGTCATTCATTTGTGTGAATCGATATGATTTCTAACGTAACATGTATGTCATTTTCAAATATTAGTTTTTAAGCAGCTTCAAACCGTGTTATGTAACTATCTAATAAGGGTCTGTCATCTTAATCATAATAATAAGGAAACGGATTAGTATAAGTTTTCAAACTTGTTTCCGAATCCTTTTTGATTTTTTTTTCTGTACTACTTATCTGTATCTGTATTTTCTGCTTGTATTTTTCAAATAAAATATGGTTTAAACTAAATTTAGAGTATGGATTTCCCCTTTAATACATGCGCACTTAATCAGAGTTGAAAATCGTGACCTTGCCATTGTGTCTAGAATCAAAAGATGAATAATAGTTTCAGATGATCAGCTGTTCAATATGTAACGGAGTGTTTCACATTTAAAGAAATATTTTGTAATGTGATTTGTGGGTTAGACTAAGAATGAAGTAGATAAGATAAATGATATTTTTCGTGTTATTTGGCGTATTCTTAAATAAAATAAAAGAGTACAATCAAGTACACAATGTAATCAGCAACACAATGATTCAAATTGATATGCTATATATTGTAATTTTCCTTTGAGCCTTACATGTAGCTTCCGAACCTGTTTCTAAACACTGGCATGCGCGGATCTATAGAGGGGGTCGGTGGGTTCCAGACCCCCCCCCCCCCTCGGAATTTGCAAAGTCATTAAAGTATATACCGAAGCAAATCAAAATGACTTTGGACCCCCCCTTCCGAAAACCTGGACACCACTACCATCACCACGAAATAGGTATATTTTCCGTTTGGGAATTGACTTTACGCTCTTTTTTTTTGGCTTGTCAAGAAATTTTCTGGGTTTGATACGTTTGGGAAAGGTGTTCACGTTTTGTTTGTTTGTGTGTGTGTGTGTTTTTAAAATTTTGCATGTCAAGAAATTTCTGGAATGGAATTTTTTTTTAAACCAGGGTGGACCCCCTCCCCCCCCCCCCCCCCCCCTGGAAAAAAAAATTCCTGGATCCGCACCTGACTGGTCATGCATGGATTTCTAGCACCCGTTTAAAACAATTCGCTTCTTTATAAACATTATGAATTTACGACACTCAGATGGTCGGTCTACAATAATTTGAGATAAGCAAAACTTTTAATCTATCCTATAAGAAAATACAAGAATTATGTCTATTGAATGGAAGGGAGCTACAAAAGAAAAATTGTTTTTGATTTTGCATGCCTAGCTATTTGGTTTCAAGAAAAAAATCTTTGTTCGAGGTGCGAACCCATGCATTTTATTTATTAGATCACTTACTATAGGAAGACGTTAAAGTACATCAGTTCCATGTAGATTTCAAAGAAATTCCTTGCAAAGTACTTTTCCAAGAAAATTATGGCATTAAAAAGCATCGCAGTGAAAAGGAGTTTTCTTGTATATCGGTCAGTCTATTATGGTTCTTATCTGTTCATCTACAGCGGCAGGGGAGGGGGTGGGGAGAGGGGGAAGGAAATAAATTTTTCCAGTGTTATATATTCACCATTAATCCATTCATCAATCCTGATACAGCACAAGGGACGCAACTGTTACATACTTCTTGAATGTTACTACTACAGGTATACATTTAAGGAATGTTTACATCGATGGCCAGTGATACTCTAACTCTGAATATTTACGCTGTCAAACTTTTCATTACATACGGAATTTTCTGAATCTCACCACTAAGTTCTACTTCATAATGCTATATTGCTACCTTCCTCGTTTTCTCATCTTAATCTCACTTTGTCATCAATTTTAAATTTGATTTAATGTATTTGAACTGGAGATGTTCATGTATGTTAAGACAATGTGAAAAGCAGAACTTTTTTTCTATGATCGTCTATCTCCATGATGTATTTTTTTTTTTTTTAGAAAATCAGTGCCAAAAATCTCTCAGACGATGTGAAAGTTTACACATCCCATCGAAAATGCTTTTAAATAGTTTATTTTCTCTTCTTAAATTGTAAAAAGATAACGGCCATTTGTTGAAATGTTTATCTTGTGTGCGATTTTTTTTTTCAAAGTCTTTATACTCAAAATCTTTACTCCCCGAAAGTCTTATTCCATCAAACTTGATTAACAATCAACCTGTCATGAACACTGAAATTGAACAATGATGAAAGACTTAAATGCTATCATGCTCATGTTCCAGAAGATAATTTTTAAAACAGTAGTGCTTTAACATCAAAAAATCCATCTCATTCCGTTTTACATAGGCCTTTTTTGGTTTTTGAAGAACATTAAATGTACAAAGATAAGGTATTTTTATTCATACATGTATACTGTTTTCAGGTCTTTCAGACCATTAAAAACTATGAAAGTACTTTTTTTTTTAATTCTTAAAGCTCTATTCAATTCACCTTTCAATTACATTACTTACAGAGAATATTTATAATAGCTGAATAGCGATGGGAAATAAATTTAATCAGGAAAAAAACCACATATTAATTGAACCCCTCCCAGCACCAGAACACTGTAACGTCGTAAAGTGAATATTGATCGGGGGTCAATTTCTACATAAAAAAATGACAGCTGGTTATACTACGACAAGTAGGGTTGTTTTTTAACTGTAGAAAATCCTTCCAGGTCGGTAATTCTACGACTCCACTCACGTTGAAAAAATGACCCCCACAGAAATGTGATTCCCTACTTTATCAATATATTGTGTAATATTATACTTTCATGTAAATTAGTTGAATCTGATTCGTCGAGAAACATTTGTTAAAAAACACTATTACCAGCTGAATGATGAAGCCAAGCCCTCCAGCGTAGCAACAGTCAACATTGCTTGACGAAAGGTAATATTCCAAAAAATAGTGACTGCGCAGAATTTATGCGCGCACGGTTCACTGTTACAGTGCTCCCCCGTTATAATTCCCCCCGTTATAATGCCACCCCCGCCTACCGCCAAAAAAAAGTCAAGTCCCGATTTCCTCGCTATATAAAACCCCGTTTTACCGCCATCCCCCGCCTATCGCCATCCGCCAACGTATTTCAGGTACAAATCTGTCCAGTACCGTTATAATCACCCCCGATAATTACCGCCAATTATATCTTCGGGGAGAGAATTTCAGTGAACAGTCTTTAGCAATTATCCGCCATTAGTCTTCCAGGTATCAAAGTTTGGAGTAGATAATAAGTTACATACATAATTATTTGAGTTCAAATCTTTACTCTTCTTTTTGAAGTCTGAATATGGCTGACTCGCCGAAATCAAGGCGCGTTATCTTGGAATTGAAACAAAAACTGGAAATCATTAAATATCACGAAAAAAATCCAAAGCGTTCGCAGCAAGAAATTTCAAATTATTTTACGGAACTATGGAAAATTGATGTGAAAAGACGGACTGTAGGTGATATTCTTCAAACATCGGGAAAAAGAGCTAGGGAAGCTGACGATGTTTCGTCTACCCCAAGAAAACGGCATCGTTCGGCCCATCACGAAAACATGGAGGATGCTCTGTACATGTGGTTTTCGAATGCAAGGGCTAAAAATATTCCAGTGACTGACGACATCTTAAAATTAAAAGCAAAAAAATTTGGTGATGATCTTGGTGTTCACGATTTCAAATATTCAAATGGGTGGCTTAATAGGTTTAAAACAGACATGGAATTATCTGGTGAAAGTGCAGGAATTCATCCAGATCTCATTTTTGACGGACGAGTGAAAGCTAGAGAAGCAATGTCCAACTATGATTTAAAAAACATCTTTAACATTGACGAAACTGGCCTTTTTTATAGAATCTTACCAGACAGGTCCTTGACAACAGCGGATGCTACTAAGGGTGTTAAAAAATACAAGGACAGAATTACTATAGCACTTGTATGTAACGCGGACGGTAGTGAAAAAATGAAGCCCTTTGTAACTGGAAAATGTTTAAAGCCAAGGTGCTTTAAAAACTTTAATCATGAACTCTATGTTGAATATACCGCTAATAAAAAAGCGTGGATGACCTCATTAATTTTCAGAGTTCTTTCTGAAATTTGACAGAAAAATGCGTGTGCAAAATAGAAACGTTTTACTTATAATGGACAATGCCCCGAGTCATGCTATTCCAAAATTGACAAACGTAAAAATTCACTTTCTCCCTCCTACCACCACGAGTCATTTACAACCATTAGACGCTGGAATTATTCAGGCATTTAAAGCACATTATCGAAAACTACAATTGCACTATTTAGTGGATTGTTTTGACAAAAATAATGTACCGAAAGTATTATTAAGTGAAGGTATTCGCTTTATTAAACAAGCATGGGAAAGTGTAACGCCCGACACGATTAGAAATTGTTGGATCCACAGCGGGTTAGTCACGGATGAAAATCGATCTATAAATAGCACACTGTCGATGATTATGACCTTACGGTGTCTTTGTCACAAGTTCAAGACTCGCTAGATTTGCATCCAGACATGAGGTTGACCGTCCGAGAATTTTTGAATTTGGACAAAAATGCCGAGTTCTCTCAATCACTTACTGATGATGAAATATCGTCAACCGTGGAGAACTCAAACGATAATACAGACCAGGTAGAGGACGATAGTGAAGAAGAATCTCCGCGTGTTCCTACATACGCAGAGGCCAGACAGGGACTTGAATGTTTGTTACGGCATTTAGAATCAAAAGAATCAACAACTGAATCTGAAATAAACTTTTTACTGCGATTAGCTATTAAAATAAAACCATCAAAACAATCAACAATTGATATGTTTTTCAAAAAACAGTGATTTTCTGACAAGCATACGTAAGCTTTTATATTTGTTTATTTGATATAAAGGCATTAAAATCTTGAAATACATATAGCACATTGATAATAAATTTGTTTTCATTTATTTGTGCACGTCACTTCTCTCCCCCCGATATAACGCCACCCCCGTTATAATGCCAAAATGACCAACGTACAAATGTTGGCGTTATAACGGGGGATCACTGTATATGTATTTGTATAAAACATTCAGTATAATATGATAAATATTGCATTTTCACCCCTCGAAAACCATTGTCAACCTCGGCTGCGCCTCGGTTGACAATGGTTTTCTTGGGGTGAAAATTTTCAATATTACACTCAACTACGTGCAATATTTATATTTAAAAAAAACCCCTTTAGAATGAGATGTGATACGCGTTGTTACCAGGGTTGAGGAGGTTCGGTCTAGAGATAACTGCGTCTTTTTTTCTTACTTTGAGATTACCTTTAGTTTCATTTCATGACTTAGAATGCTTACTGTATTTCAAATGTTTTGAGATTTACAAACTTCATAATGTTGAATAGCTAGAGGAGGCCGCCTATGCGCGACAGAGGCAACTTTGCAACACTTTTTAAGTCCACAATTTGCAGGGTCTCCTTTTTGATTGAATCTCTCTACTGCTTAATTGAATGATTTTTTAAAAAATTAATTTTCCCTGAAGCATGGCTAGGGCCTGTAATAAGGTGAACATTCACTCAAATTACACTGATGGCTCACCGGTAAATCATTCGTAAACGTTAAGTGGAAATCTATGGTTAGTAGAGTAGAACATGCAACAAATAAAGGTCACATGTAGTTTGTTAACAGTACGCATTTGATTAAAAAACCTAACGAACAATTACATGCAATGAGAAAATATGACATTCCGGGTAATGCGTAGAACAACCAGGGAGTCGTGATGCAAGTGCAATTTGGCGAACCATCAACGCAACGACACGATGTCTAAACAGAACAAAAATTATAAAAATATAGAATTTAAGTAAACTGAATGCATACAAGGGAAAGAGATAGTGGATGTCAAACCCTAATTACATACTTGGTCAAACAAAGAATATTTCATAGACCTCCTCTCTGCATGTGGATAATTTAGGACTTCAGTCGCAAATCAACTTTTCTTAACTATCCAAAAGGGATTTCAAGCTGACTTATCAAGTTCCTTGTAAGTTAGAAAGCATATGAATATTGTTCTTCAAGAATATGAAATTAAACGCGCAAATAACGCAATGATGAAACTGAGAACTGTGAAGCTATATTTTCTGTTGTTTGAAGTTATCGCCCTTATAACTATATAAATTACATTCATTTTTTGCAAAAATAAACAATTCTGCTAAATCCAATTTAAAGTAAAATGATCAAAAATAAACATTTTATAATTTATTTTAAAATAACGATAAGAATTTTCACCATGTTTTAGAATAAGTATTTCCATTATTTTTTTATTGTAAATATACTATGAAACATCTATGTATTATTCATATATAGTTTATTTCCCAAGACAAAATATCTAGACGGACAACAAATAAAAAAAAATAAAGAGAGGTGTGTCAGGAGAGTGGGAAAGAGTGGGGAGAGGATAGGAAAAAGAGTGGTGGGGTTGATAGTGTGGGGTGAGAGAAATGAGGAGGAGTGCGGGGATATCTCAACTCCTCCCCACTCTGTCTCTCCTCCAACACTTCGCTCTCTTCTACTCGAAAGAGTTTGAGAGAGTGAGTGAGAGAGAGGAGAGTGACAGAGAGAGGAGAGAGGGAGTGAAAGGGGGAGAAAGAGAAGTGAGAGAGAGGGGGAGAGGGAGGAGGAGAGAGGGAGAGGGGAGTGAAAGGGGAAGAGATAGAGGGGGCGAGTGAGTGGAGGGGAGAGGGAGGCGAGAGAGGGGAGGGGGAGGGAGAGAGAGAGGGGAGTGAAAGGGGGAGAGAGAAGGGGGGAGGGAGAGAGAGGGGAGTGAAAGGGGGGGAGAGGGGAGTGGGAGAGAGAGGGATGAGAGGGGGAGGGAGAGAGAAGTAAGAGAGAGAGGGGAGTGAGAGAGAGAGAGGATTAGGGGAGAGAGTATGGAGAGTGAGAGAGGATTGGGAGAGAGAGAGGGAGGGGATTGGGAGAGAGAGGGCAGAGAGAGGGGAGTGGGGAGAGAGGGGGAGTGGAAGAGAGAGGGGAGAGAGAGTGGAATGAGTGAGAGGGGTGGAGAGAGAGGTGGGAGTTGGGGAGTTCGAAGAGCGAGATATAGTGGAGGAAAAGAGACAACATTAGTTTATGTCCTTAAATATGCAGGGCAAAATTAGGGCTGGGTCATTAAAAAAATCTTCTCAAGAAACACTGGGCTAGAAAAGCTGAAACTTATGTGGAAGCTTTCTGAGGTAGAGAAGATTCTAAATTGTTCATATCAAGGCCCCCCAGGGAGAGAATTTTTTTTTCACTATATGATTATTTGAGTGCCACTCTTACTTTCACATTTTACAAATTTGATAGATGGCTCAATGTTTAAAGCTTGATGTCCAGGGGTCTATAGGTTTATTTGAAATAGCACTAATTTTGATTGCTTTAGAATCTCCCCTCGTGTCTTGGTGGGGGATGCAGGGACCATAAAATTCTGATCGAAATTTGTACGATGTCTGTCGTTGTCGTCGTTGGCGTTGTAAACTTTACATATCTTCATCTCAAGACGGCTTGGCTAAGATCAGGTGCCCATGTTGGTTGCAGATTAACGAAGAAATGAAGTCAAATGAAATGCATTACAAGTATGTTCTATGTAACACTACATCCTTCTGGCAGATTGTCTGAAATTTCTGTCCATTTCTGTCAAGCGGTTAAAAAGATTTCACTCTTACTACAGCAGAGACCCAAGTGGGCTACGGACTATACATATTCAGGCATAACATTTATCTTTATCATATTCAACTTAACAAAAAAGTATAATTCAAATACAAACTCTTCACAAAATATTGTCTGAGCAGAAAAAAAATCACATAATTCATTTCCATTTGAATGTTACCATAAATAAAGGACGTGGGTAAATTTGTTAATCTTTGAGAGTTTTTCTACTCTTAATATTTGGACATTTGAAATAAAAATACATTAAAGTACTTTCAATTTTTCTAAAGATACTGTATATGGGGATGAAAATTTAAAACTTATTTGGTAATACTCAGAGAAAAACTGTGTCAGATATTTTTTGATTGACTATTTTGAGACCTTGGGCTACGGACTATACATATATTATTTTCATTTAATGAGAGACCATAGCAAATAGTTGCTTTTTTCAGTAAATTTTTGTTAAAATTATCACCTTGGAGTTCACACGGGTTTAATAAATCCTTTCATTTGGATATTAAATCAATTTATACAAAATCCTATGAAATTTAACAAAATAAAATAAAAACTTTATACAAATTCACAATAAGAGTAAAATATAAATAGTCAGAACAAAATAATACATGTCAGAATTACATGTATTGGTGTTTTGATAATAAAATATTGTTTAAAACCATCTAAAGACCAAGAATGAGCTTTAGTTTAGCATCTAAGAAGGATGAATGTCATGTGAAAACGGGGGCTACGAACTATCCCGTTAAACATCTCTATTGTGGACAATCAACTTAAAGAAAATACAATTGTTTAATTAAATTTTGGGCAATTTTTTTTATTAATTGGTTTTCTATAACAGTTCACACCACTTAGTTTGAGTATTTATAATACCATACTTAAAAATCAATTGTCTAATGTACTATGTACTTTCAATGCCAAATGAAATTCCAGTTCAACTAATTAAAGCATAATTGGTGTTCAAACCATAATGAATAAAAGCAAGAGGAGCTGAAACTAAATCAAGGCATGATTTGTGTGTGTATGTGGGGGGAGGGGGAGTTACGGACTATATTGCTTCATTTTTTTTTCAATTTAATGTAATGCATATACCTCAAGATGGTCATTCAAAAGGTGTTTCAGTATATAATTTATCATAATCATATGGTGGAATTCACAAAAAAAAGTTATGAGCAATGTTCAAGTTTTTGCGGACAAACAGACAAACAAACAGACAGACGGACGGACAGGGCAAAAACTATATACTCCAGAATCTTCGATACAGGGGCATAAAAATTTACTTAATGAAAAAGTGAAAAGTTGAACACTATGCCGGGGATAAATCATTTCTTTTTTGTGAAAATAATTATGTAAAATATCACTGGACCATGAAAAGTGCTGCTAGAATCCTACTCTCCCAACCAAAAAAAAAATACATGTATTCCAAAGTTTCGCATGAAATCTTACAAAAATTTTTACATATTGTACATACGATCAAGGAATTGTCATCAATTCATGTAAACCATGTGATTCTAGCAGCACTTTCCATGTACTGTAGAATACAAGCTTTCGATACAAATAAAGTTATGTTTCAAAGTATGCGGCGTAGTGTTGAACTTTGCATCTTTATTGTTAGAACGACAGAGGAAAGGCTGATCGGGATTTCAAAGCACTGCCTGTGCTCATTATAAGAAAACATAATAAGAATAAATCAGCGTACCTGATTCCCTTATGAATCACACATAAGATTCACAGTATAAGCTTTAAAACTCCCATTTCATATACATGTATTTGTTTACATGAATTCTCGTCACGTTTAATTTTCACCCGGCAAATATTAGATCAATGGTTACAACGTCATGGAGTTTGGTATTTAACCCCCATGCATATGATGAATACTTAGCTACTTATACCACCAAAAACGACAAGATTTAGTTTATATTATGTTTTTAAATGATTTTATTCATTTCTTGGTCCTGAAGTTAAACTTTATATATAGATATTAAGAAAATATTATCTGTAAGCTTCATTTCATACAGCTTACTATGACGTCATATTGTATTGGCCAGTATGATATCTGTGTGTAGCCTTAACATGCCCGCGAGGCACCCTCGCTAAAACATAACCATGCACTTAGCTTGGTTGCTTAGTACCCAGGAGCAGAGAAGAGGATTTCAAAAGATATATAATGCATTTTCACTATATATTCAACAGAACCCCACCCCTGACCCCGGGACTAATAATTTCATAATTATATAACGGTCACCCTTGCTCATCATAACTTTGCAAATAGTTTGTCTGTTAGATTTCCAGAAACAGAAAAAAGATATTTATATTTTTTTAAAATATATTTTCACTATCTGGTCTTTAGATTCCTGCTCTAACACAACAAACGCTATCCCAGGGGCCTGAAATTCAAAATTTTGGAAGAGGCACCTTTGATCATAATAATTATATATTTCGTTTGTTTGAATAATACCAAAAAGCAGAGAAGAAGCTTCTCAAAGATATAACCCATATTCACTATATCATCAAAAGATCCCCTCCTTAACCCCTGACCCTGACGCAATAAATTTCACAATCACAATAAAATCCTTGCTCATCATTACCATGCACATAGTTTATCTTCTAGGGGGAGAGGAGAATATTTAAAAAAGATATTCTTATCACTATAATAAAGCCCACCCTTACTTCAGAACCCCTGACCCAGGGGCCATAAATTTCACAATTTTTGTAGATAGCGGATTTCATGCACACTAAAATCATAGCAACAGTTCAATTGCTTGATATCCAGGAGTAAAGAAGATTTTTTATAGGATTGCATTAAATTTGATGGGTTTACCCCTCAGGCCCCCAGAAGGTGCAGGGACCATACAATTCACAATTTTTGTTCCCATTCACTCTGATGCTATATCCCAAACAGACCCGTAGGAAGCAATTTCACTTTAAGGGGGCACAACCATACATTTTCAGTTAAGGGAGGCACTATCAACTTCAAAAATTCTTTGAGAAGTTAAAAAAATAGAAAAGAAAAAAAGGGGTCATCAGACGTTATTATTAAGGGGGCACAAGCATATAGTAGCTATGTTTTCTATAGTATTTTATATATCGGCAAAATTATTGGGAGGGGGGGCCACGTCCCTGCCCCCCCCCCCCCCCGGTTCCTACGGCCATGCCAAAATTGATTGAAATAATTTCAGCGATTCCAGCAAGGGCAATTAACTAGCGTCTACGCTCTACCATTTGTTAGTGAAACGGTCGCTAGGCCTATTCTTCTTGGCCTAAGTATGAATATTGATGTTTTTAAAATTTTGAATAATTATCTTTTTGGATGGTGTAACAAAAGTTTTGAGGTAACTCTTGGTGTAAATTTTGAATTCTAAAGTAATGTTTCGTTGCGTACTTAATACAGATGTATAACAAAAAGCAAAACTCACGAAATGAGATGTCAACATCAAACAAAATGCATAAATTGCCTTAGAATGGGAATAACTATCCTCGTTCGTAAGTTGCAACTGTTAATGTCAACCGTTTTACCGACTCCAATGACGTGTCGTAGGTAAAACTCAGTTTACATCCGTTCAAGCAGAACTAAGGGTCCCCCCCCCCAAAAAAAAAAACAAAAAAAAAAAACAAAAAAAAAAACAAACAATTTACTGGGTAGCAGTAAATATAAAATTTACAATTATCTAATAAAATTTTGTATTTACTTCTACCGGGTGAATTCAATTAACGATATGACATATTATATAAAACACATGATCAGCTCACTTAAAATAATAAAATAATTTTCATTCTGTCTTTTTTTTTTTTAATTTTCATTAATATTCTTATCCAGTCAGTAAAGATATTGCGTTTGACTGCGCAAATACATGTACGTGTATTACAAATAGAAGTAGCTTAAGTGTAATTTTTTTATTCTATGTTACTTACATGCAAATCAAAACTAGATTTCACTTATACATTCATGCAAAAGAAGTCTTATTAAAATGTGTTTATAATAAGATTATAGGGAAAAAATTAAAATGAAAGGAATATTCAATTTTCAGGTGGGACTGGGAGGGGGGGGGATGCCGAGGTCAAACTGCTGACATATTTCATTAATATTTTGGACAGTTTTAATGTAAAAAGAATCAAAGTGCGCAATTCGCCTCCCGTAACGTTCCCGATACACATGAAACGTAGAATTATATTTGATCAGTGTATGTAATTATGACCGTCTCGCAGTTCGTACAATATGGAGTTATGCTGGAATACTTTTAGACAATCTTTCCTCTTATCTTAATTCAAAATGACAATCTGCGTTACTAACACCTAGAAAACACAGTATTTCGACGAAATAAACAATGAATACATGTAGAAGACGATGTCGTACCAATATCGAAATCAAGTATATATTGGAACAGTGTTTCTAATTCATAAAGACTTTCTTGAATACATAAAAAATGGAGAAAATGAAAGTGTTTAAGGGATGACAAATCTCACCGGAAACGGAAATAACACCAGTGGGGACAGAGTTAAAGATTGCATCAATCATGACGATTTAATTTTAATCATATCAGCTGTGATTTTGATCTTTGGAGTTGTTGGAAATATTGTTACATTTTTCAAAATAGTGCTTAATAAGAGTTTGCGTAGGCCAGTTCCGATTTCAATAGCATGCCTCGCTGTTGCAGATTTTTGGAGTTTAAGTTTGCAGTTTATTCGGATACCCCTAGCACAGTGTGACAACTTTCCTAACCTAAGCGTGAAACAGAATCTTCTAAATTGTACTCTAGCTGTTACCAATTCTTCAGCCATGCATATCATTTTGATGGCTGCCATTCGTTACGGTCTAATAGTTCATCCATTGCAGATGAGATGCCGTCTTACCTCTAGAAAAGTAATCGTATGTTCTTGTATTTCTTGGGTCATCAGCCTCGTTTTGGGATTCATCTACGGAATTTACAACCGGAAGTACTACAGTCAGGAAGTAAAAGAGAAAACAGACGCTTTTGTTCAACTGTCAATAGCCCTGTATTTTCTGTTAGTTCCAATAACGTTTTTCTTGATTTTCTACATCATGGAATTGCGGGCGATGAAAAGGTCACTACAACTACGAAGAACATTAAAATCTATCAAGTATATTTCAAGGATGATAACTGTGATTTTAATCCTCTATGTCGTGTTTATCTCCCCTTATGTGATAGCTGACATATTTCGTGTCTTGTATTACAATCGTATATTAGGTGTCATAGAAAACAATGAAATTTATGACAATGTCATACTTAGAATTTATTCTGTAGCACAGATAATAATTCTCTTGAATTACGCGGTTAATCCTTTTATTTATTTCCTATACCGTAGACTGCTCTTCCAGGTGAAATCACTGTCCACTAGAAGCAAAAAAATCAGGCGTCGTCAAAGATAAAAGTTATAGTAGTACATCTGTCTGAATATAGTCTCCACTTTCACAGGAAGTACCAAGACTGAACTGAACCATTTCCGTTTTTTTTTTTTTTTTTTTTTTTTTTTTATTAAGGTTCAATAATACTTTGATAAGAGAGATTACAACATGAATGCCTATAATCCCTTTATAAATTCGAATGTCTTTTTTGTCCAATTTTGCCTGATTGTGGTAAATCAGAAGATTTTAAGAAACATTTCATATGAGTGAGCAAAGGTTTTTTTTTTTTTTAACTTTAATTAAGACTGTATTTGTTGTTGAATCCTTCAATTACATAATGTACAGGTTTCTTCATGTAATAAACATTTTTTTTGTCACTTAGTGTAAATCAATAGGCAATTTCTTTTAATCCTTAATGTAATAATTTAAGGCATAATTATGTAACATGAGTGAAGCGTGGAAGTCTAAGGTTCCGTATTATGTCTGTACATCTTCCTTCTAAAATACTCACTTCAGATTAACTTCGGCATGAACTTTTCATTAATTTGTACTTTCTTTCTCTCGGCATTTTCAAATTACCAGTGAAGATAAGTGATAAACAACTCCTTGGAAGTGCGAAACATGTAAACTTTAACAATATTGAAGACTGTCTATACCTTATCTTAAATGATAATATTCCAAGCTTTCCTAATAATAACAACACACTGATAATGTTAAGCATCTTTGATAGCCAATCTTAATTGTGCATTGGTAGTCAAAATAATGCTAAAAGTACATGACCTTGTAAGTGAACTGCATGGGTAAAAAATAAGGCCAGCGATTAGTTGCTGCCCAGAGTAACCAATAAGCACAATGGCATTAAAAACTGTACTAGAGAGGAATTATTTTTCTATGTCAATATTGAAACGTTATTTTCAATATACTGTATTCAGTACATCAAAACTAAAAAAGTTCCTTGTAGCGAAAATAAATCTTCAAAGAACGACATAACAAATCTTTCAAAAAAATACCCCCCCCCCCCCCCCCCGAAAAAAAGAATGAAGAAAAAAAGAATCGATGATGCTAGAAATTGGTTTATTGTGTCATTACACTCTAAATTTCTCTCTATGTGGTACATTAATATTCTTGTGCAACCCCTTTTTATTACAGTTTTAATTTTCGTGCAAATTAATTATATCTATTTCTTTTCCTTTTTTCTCTGAAAAAAAGTTCACATGCATACACAACATGATTTCATTTACAAGGTAGCTTTCTGGTTCAAATTTACAACCAAAAAATATACCACATGATGATCACTGGACGTGAAATTGTATCGTTCATATTTAACAGAAATTTCCCCAACGGCAGGTTCTCATTAATTTTACAAACTGCATGTCCGTGAAACAATACTGGTCACGAGCTACTTTGAGATTTTTTGCAACCGCGCTAGTAAAAACAACACTGTGGATAAATACATGTATCGTAAATGCACATGGCAGCATACACTACTCTTGATTGTTTCAGCTTCAGGCTACAAGATAGAATCGTGCTGCTGATTTCTATAACAAAATCTTTGTGTTCAATTTGGATACTTTCGACACTTGTTTGCTTCTTCATTAACATATTTAGAAGAATTCTGCTCAGCAATAAAAATCGAGGAACATAATACGTACCTCCCGAATCATTTTTTCGACAGCTGTCAAAAATGTTTAAGAGGTTTGACAAGATCTCTGCAGTGAGTTTGGGCGATGACTATACCATTCGGAATACTTGCGCCGTGTTCTGACATCATAAAAATAAACGTATTAATTAAAACAGTCGTTAAGGAGGAGTCATATAATTGGTGCACCGAGGATCTATGAGATTTTTATTGCAATTATACGTGCATCACATACCGAGAATTATGATGTTTATGACGGTTTTTTGGAACTAAGGAGACTGTCAAATTTCGGATCATGCAAGCTTTGGGCAATCATTGTGTGATATAATATGACAACATGGTGTGAAAATATTGTTTTATTGCCATTTAAACTGCTAATTTTGGAATAACTTAATCGACTTTTTTCAGGCAAACTGGTATTGATCCTTGAATACATTTTGTAAATATTCTTTGAAAGTTTGGTACCCTAATACTTATTCAAGTTTGTGAATTGTTGTAACGAACGACAACGTTGTAAGTTGGAAATATATATGTGCACAAAAATCCAATATTTAGTAGAATATTTCGTCCTAACGTGGGATAAAAGTTAAACTCTAACTTATGGGATATAAGAAAATGCGCAATGTTCTGGAGCGTAAAATAAAATTATTGAAAACCTTAAATCAATGAGTAGGTCTTTGTGGAAAACATGCAAATAGGGGATAATGTGACGTCATTTCCAGATGAGCATAGGATTAAAAGCAGTCTTCTTTGCACTAATGGAGAAATCGCCGTATTGGTGATTACATCTATAATCTTAATTTTTGGATTCATTGGAAATCTCGTTACAGCCTCAAAAGTGATCATCGAGAAAAAATTACACAGACCAGTACCCGTATGTATCTCCTGTCTCGCCATTGCTGACCTTTTGACCTTGTGTTTTCAGTACATCCGGGTACCTCTTTCACATTGTCGCGTTGACATAAGCATCTCAACTCGAGAGACGTTAATGACAATAACGGCTGTAGTGGTTCATTCCTCCGCCATGCATATAATTCTGTTGGCATTGGTCCGATATGGACTGATAGTTCATCCTTTCACTATGAAATATTGCCTAACTTCCGGTAAAGTTGTGATCGCCTCGTTGTTATCGTGGCTGCTAAGTTTGGTAATTGGACTTGTATATGGCTGGTACAATCGACAGTATTATAAAGGACACGTGGACGAGAATACGGACTCCATAGTTCAGCTAGCGATTGCTTTGTATATCTTGATTGTCCCAATCTGTTTCTTTGTGAGTTTATACGTTGCTGAGATGAATGTGATGAGAAAATCTCTTCTTCCGGAAAAATCGTTTTACATAAAGAAGATTTCAAAGATGATAAGTTTGATCATGGTGTCGTACATTGCCTTCTTGGCACCGTATGTTATAGCTGATTCGCTTCGGCTTCTTTACATGAAAAAGATCTTATCTATGGACAAAGGGAGGTTCGAGACAATGAAAAATGTGATGTTCAATCTGGCCAGAGTTTTTATTCTGTTAAATTACTCGATAAACCCGTTCGTTTATTTTCTCTTCATTCGCTGATAAACTGTTGAATTGTGTTTACAATATGGTAATGCATCAAGATAGTGAGAAAATATAAGTTTGATTAGCGCTTTATTGCGCAAAAATATACGTCAGTTATGTGCAGTTGCTGGCTATTAGCTGAGTAGACGAATTATGTGTAGTCATGTAGATATATAAAAATGTTAATATTTTCCCAATGTAGTTTTGTTGTTTTACAGTTGTTCATGTATCAGGTCCATAAATTTATAAAACAGTTTTATTTATGTAATGTATTATCTTTTAAGGTTCATTTCATTCATAATATGAAAAGATTTACAAATATGTTTTCAGTAAATTTTAGAACACGGAAAAAGAAAATAACAGTGAGACGGACGACTTCGGAATGGACCTTTTTCCGAACTTGAGCACCCTTTTCCTTTAAAGTTATCATCTTAGGATTTTTTAAATGGTGGGGTATTTATAATTAAATTGATTTATGAAATAAAAAATCCAACATTTTCTGCTAGTTTTTGAGATATTAAGAGGCAAAGATAAAAATCCCATGGGGAAACATGCATTTAAAATTACCCCATGAAAAACCCCACAAAAACCCCATGGGGTTTAAATTTATTTATGAAATAAAAAATCCAACATTTTCTGCTAGTTTTTGAGATATTTAAAAGTGGCAAAGATAAAAATCCCATGGGGAAACATGCACTTAAAATTACCCCATGAAAAACCCCATGGGGTTTGAAATTTTCCCCATGGGGAAAATTTACCCATACAATTCAGTGTGTTTTTTTTAACTCATTTGTTGCTTATATTGTAACGTGGGGTAACCCCCCCCCCCATATTTCTATATCAAGGGGTTAAAGAACCCACATATCAATATTTATTTTCTCTAAGATAACTCTTAAAGACTGTCTTTTTTAAAAATGCATCATTTTTTTCATAGAGTTAATGACCAATGTCTTGTAAATGTTATAAGGAAAATGAAATACAAAAGTGGAAACACCTTTCATACAGCCGACGTATATGAAGAAAATATAGATTTTGATTTCATACATGTACATTCAATTTTTATTATGTACATGTATACAGTCATGTATCTGTAATTGTGAAATGTTGAATACTTCTCAGTCTCAGAAATACTGACAACTTTTTACAAAACGCACTTTATTTTGCCTTAGTACTGAGGAGAATAACGTCAAGGTAAGTATATGTCTATGACGTCACAGTAATGTAGCTAATCGAACTGTGACGTCATAATCGCAACAAGATGAATCCTTCTCGGTAAGTTTCTTTTTTGATGCACTAATTAATATGTATATTTAATGCATTTTTTTTTCTTCATTAGTTAAAGTATGATAAAGAATTAATGAAAAAGTTGAAACACATTAATTAAAGTATGATTAAAGCACTAATAAAGAAATTGAAAACGTATGTGAATGGGAAGTAAAAGATATAGGTTAGGACTTACGACAACATAGGGTAAAACTTAGAAAACCTAGTAGACATCTACTTAAACGGTGTCTACAAAACATTGATTATAAATTAGATTTCCATGTGAACATACATGTAAAAAAAGTTTTGTAACTCAGTGGCTCCAAAACAGAGACTCCATCTTAAATTGAATGATTAATGTAGAAGTTTTGTTTTTTTACTGAGTCCATTAATTCCTACATGGTGTTAGATTTTATAGCCTCTTAAATCCAGAGAGCTTGTTATAAATTAACAGAAGCTTCTCTATATAATTATTTTTCTAACATTTCAATCTAGAAGAACTCGGTCACCATACAAAGTTCAAGGGCAATATTAATATTGTATGCTATTAAAGGCGGTTCAAGTAGATGATCTAGTGACATTTTCATTGTAAGATTGCACAAATATGTGATATATGTACAGTAACTTTATTTTTTTCAAGTAAAACGATGCTGTAAGCAAATTCAACTTCAAAAAACTGTTTTCTTGTCATCAATACCGTATGGAAAAATTTAATTCTTATAATTAGTTCAAATTTTGAAACTGATTGGCGTAAAGAGAGAGAGAGAGAGAGAGAGAGAGAGAGAGAGAGAGAGAGAGAGGGGGGGAAATGCACAAAATAATTAAATCAAGAAGACATCTTTCAACACCTACAATATTTACATTTCCAGGAGCTTTGATGGTGCCGAATTTTCACGGAATTCTCCGCGATGGGGAGAGTACGAGGTCATGGAGAATGGCAAGGACCTAAGAAAGAGTGATGGGCTCTCCAGATTGTGAGTATGGTTTAAATAAAGCAACGTCTAATATATCATAAAAATACAGTGAATTCCAGTATTAGGCCTAAAAGTATATATTTCGGTTTTTTTTTACTTACTTATAACCTGACCTAGCTCCGTACCCAGAGCACACTCTGTCCTATTTTTTTTTAAATCATCATAATGGTCCATGTTCATTTGTCGTGTTAAGAACTGCATGGAGGTGCAATAGTTGTTTAATCGCAAAACTAAGTATGACACAAGTTAAGAATAATCTTAAGAAAATTATGGCGATGGTAGTTGTAACTTGAATTCGAGCTTTAGAGGTAAAATAACTGTTTCTTATTTTTGTATATAGCAAACCAATACCCCGGAATGTAAACAGTTCAATCATTCTTCAGTAAAATATAACTACATGTGTATTTACTTATCATATGCATGTCCTGAAAGGTTTTCTTTTTTTTTTTTTTTTTTTTTTTTTTTTTTAGCAAAGCTATGCCCGGTGTATAGAATGTGCTATCCCTTGGTAAAATTTATGAATCAGTATAATAAAACGCTTATCTCACTGGCTTTGAGTGGAATAGCTATCAAACCCTTAAAAAGAACTATCCCCTCGGGACAGCCTCCTGGGGAACAGTTCCTGTCACAGGATTTATAAAGGTGGATTAGTGTAATAAAATGCCCCCCCCCCCCTCTCTTGCTTTTGAAATAATCACTTGTACATATAATTATATGTTTTCTTTCTCTTTGACATTGTATATATTTAAAAAATACTGCATGGTTTCAAATAAACTCACATTTTTACACGTATATGACACCTTCACACCATTGATGGTGGATGTGTGTGTGTGTGTGGGGGGGTATTCTTGATAGACCTATATGTACAAATCACAGGCCTTCAGATCGCTTTGATCTGACCGACATACAGGTACATGTCGGTCAGATCAAAGCGATCTGAAGGCTAGGCCTGTGGTACAAATTAACAACTGAAATTAGGTCTTCTAACTGGTTTATACATTAAAATTATTAAAAACAGCTAAACATTTTCTTAACCAACTGCCAAAAATCATATCAGTAGTCAAATAATTTCAACATGTTCAATAAATGTAGACATAACTCAGCCTATGTTTTCTATTTTGTTTGACATGTATATCCTGCCCCGGTTAACTCCATGTATTAATACTTCAATGCTATCTCATGATCAGAGGTTGTTCTAAAATGATGAACCTAGTGGTGAATATTATTGCTTACTGATACTGTATGCAAGATTTCGAAACGAAATAAAAATCTGACGTTTTCTACAACAGATCAGTGACTTGTAAGAAAAAGCCTTCTTCCCTAATGTAGAATTCTCTCTCTCTCTCTCTCTCCAAGTATTTATATTCAACATAAAAGAATACGTACGGCAAAAAGAACACTTAACCCATATTATTTTCATAATAATGCACTCTTAATTGTTGCCAGAAACGTCAATGAATTCAGATCTAACAAGTTATAGAAGTCTGTAACACTAATGTGAAAGGAAGGCATAAACTCATTAAAATGTGCTATACGTTTTATGTCGTAATGAATTCGTGGTGAAAGTAAATTAAGATCTTTGTTTAATGTACTTCTTGCAAGGGATTTTAGATTTATTAGATTAATAAATGTAATACATACATGTATAGTCTTTGTTGGTTTACCGAGTATGTTGCTTATATATCTCAATAGTTATTTTTATTTGCTAATTTGTGTGCTTCTTTCATTCCCTTTTTACTAAATACCCCCCCCCCCCCCAATACATATCAATAGACATAAAAATAGCTGTAAGTGTTTTTGGTTACAAGAGGTCAATAGAATCAGAGCTGCATAAAATTATAATGGAAAACTAAGTTGTATATACCGGAAAGTCAAATCAGTTTATTTCCTGAATTTGACTACTCCTTTTACCGGTATTTTTCTACTAATATACACAATATTTTACTTAGTCGGAATAACTTTGACTGCTGTCATCAGGTACCAGTGGAGGGCTACTCCAGTGAAAAGTTCGATGGCCACATGTAAGTAACTGCTGAGTTTTTTTTTAGTATAAAGAATTTTATTATTGACAAATCTCTTTTATTATTCTTTATTTTTTTAACATTTATAATTATATTTTTTAGATTTTTTTCTTAGCATTAATTATTTTTTCTTGTTTACATGTAGGATTCCGAAACCAACCGATGTGGACTGCAGGTTAGTAATGCTATGTGAAAAGCGAGATAACTCTAAAATATAAATTGGGGGAAATGATCTTGACTTGGAACTTTTCTTAATTGTTTTTTCCTCTTTTTTTGAAATTACTGAAAAAGAATCTATGGCATCGCACTTTTTTCAGTGTGGTTGGGGATACAAAAACTTACCGAACCAGCAGCAAGGCTAGGGAGGCTACATTTGAAGTGTTTCCTCAGAATGTAACATCGCGGACAGACGAGGAAGGTATTGTGTCCAGGTTTTCTTTTATTATTTTAAAATATAAAACAGGCCTTTTAAATAAGATATTAATTTGATATTCTTTAATTCATCGAATTTAATGCAAAAACATGGAGATAATTAAAATAGTGAGAATTAATGGCATCTTTTAAAACCTTCTTCTCAAGAAACGCTGGGCCATGAAAGATGAAACTTAGATGTATATGGAAACATCCCTGAAGTGTAGATTTAAGTTTATTCAAATCATGACCCCCGTGGGTAGGGTGAGGCCACAATTGATGATCAAATTTTTTCTTAGAAATGTATAGGAAAAATCTTTAAAAATCTACTTCACAAGAAAAGCAAAGCCATGATTGGTCATATATATATATGGAAGCATCCTCAGGTAGTGTAGATTCAAATTTGTTCAAATCATGACACCCGGGGGTAGGAATGGGCCACAATGGACGATCAAAGTTTTACAAAGGAATATATAGGAAAAATCTTTGAAAATCTTCTTCTCGAGAACAGCAAAACCATGATTGGTCATATTTATATGAAAGCATCCTCAGGTAGTGTAGATTCAAATTTGTTCAAATCATAACACCCAGGGGTAGGACGGGATCACAATGGACGTTTAAAGGTTTACATAGAAATATAAAGGAAAAATCTTTGAAAATCTTCTTCTTAAGAACAGCAAAGCCATGATTGGTCATATTTATATGGATGCAAATTTCAGATAGTGTAGATTCATTAGTTTGTTCAAATAATGACCTCCGGGGTAGGGTAATGGGCCACAATGGACGATCAAAGTTTTACATAAAGGACTATATAGAAAAAAAATCTGTATAAATCTTTTTCTCAACAACAGGAAAGTCATGATTGGTCATATTTATATAGAAGCATCCTCAGGTAATGTAGATTTAGACTTGTTCAAATCATGACCCCGGGGGTAGGAAGGGATCACAATGTAAGTTCAAACTTAAAGGGGGAAAAACCAAAGTTAGTCAAAGAAATATGCAAGCATCTTTTAAATTAGTTAGTGTAGATTGAAGTTTGTTCAAATCAGGCCCCCTTCCCCTTTAAGGATAGGTCGGAACCACTTAATAAATGCATTAAAACTTTTCAATACTGAACTGATTTTTGCTTTTTCTCCTGGTGCTCAGGTGAGCGATGTGGCCTATGGGCCTCTTGTTTCATATATAAGAGTCGGGATACTTTTTTAAATAAACATTTTTGAAACAAATTTTACCAATTTGTTGGTCTACAATATTACTACTACTTTTCAGTAAAGTTGATTTTAAACTAATGATTACTGTATAAGAGAATAAACACAAATAATTATCCGTTAGAACGATCTTGGTGTTTTACCTCTTTTTGATCAAATATTTATAAATTTGAAATAATTTAAATGGATATAAGCCCTTGAGTATGCGCACTAGGGAGCGGATACAGAAATCTTAGAAACAAATATTATTTATATTTTCTGTTTAATTCCAATTATTGGAAGGTCAAATATTCTTACAACTAGATTTTCGCTAACGTGTTTACAAATGAAAAAATCAATGAATCTTTATATTGGGGAAAAAATGCCATATACGATTTTTTGATTGACAAAAACCCCCATAAAAGTAATGCTCTTTCGAAACCTCTTTCAAGTATATTATTACAGCTTACCTTTGTTATTTCGATCATCGATATCTTGAATATCATGGACATGTCAAAGTTAGTTGGAAGTCTGAACCACTTTATTCTTTATATATTTTAACTTCAATACATTTAGCTCGGACCCTCGGATATCTCAGGTCCGTAAGTGTTCGAGATAATGAGGTTGGCAGATATGGAAAGTTAAAGTGTTCTTCACATTTCAGGTAAATTTGTTCTGGAAGAGCCCACTAGAGAGGCAATTGACCAAATGCAAAGAAAAATTTACTGCAGCTCTGGATATAATAGCGTTTACCCAGAAACTGCGGGAACAGATAATCTCGCAAATTCTCGTTCAGTGTGTGAAGCGAGAAAACCAAAACGGGTAAGATTTGCTGATGACATTGGTTATAATCTAGAAGTCAAACTAACTCCAAGGCAAGATTACGAGGCCATCATCGATCCTGAAAACTGGCCTCGATTTGAAAACGAGGCCGATCCTTCTGGTCCCGAGGCCTTTTGCGCATATTTTGGGAACACTGATAATTCAAAGCCAGGAGTATCTAGCTATGAATATCCATACACAGTACCGATTCCTCCAAAGAATTTGCTCGATGGAAGCAGAATTAAAGCAACAGATATGGACAAAAATCAAAACTATCACTTTCTAACTTCTGCCATTTACAATTATCAATTACCATCAGCGTTGCACAATGAAGATCTGTCAATTATAGACCTAGATTTTCCAACAGACAAAGAAAAAGTAAAGAAAGTCACTCATTCAATAAAAAAGCACGAGCGTCCTTTGATTCCCACCAAACTCGTCTCGGAAATGAAAACTGTAAAAGAGGAAATGAATATGATGGAAGCAAAAGTCCCGGGAATTCCTAGAACCATACCTCTTTGGTCTCGTAGTGACCTCCCCTGCACCATCAATCAGTGGTTAGATTCGGCAGCCTCAGAAAAACTAACTCTGGCAGGACAATCTGATCTACAGAAACGGTAAGATGATTCGAAGAATTTCTTATATTTGTTACGCTATAAACACCATACCACTGCTTACTGTATACATGTACATGTACAATGTACATCACACTATTGTGTGTCAATAGTTTCATTTTGCATATTAAAGTCATCGAAGAAGCTTATAACTTGGTATGACACTTGTTTAACTAAGGACTTCAATTCTTCATGTGTTTTCTGTTATCAATTGAGTTAAGCGGTGTTGTATATGTACCATATAGAACGCAGTCATTTCAAGTCAACTTTATAATGATAAAATTGCAAAACTCAATTTTCCAAATTCTTGGGCATCTTACAGAAAAAAAACCCAGTAATCTATTAAAATCATATGGAAACTTTATTTTCCTCTTTCTTTTTCAAAAAAAAAAAAAAAAAAAAAAAAAAAAAAAAAAAAATAGAAACAATAATTTAAGGACTTACTTTTATGTTCCAGATATTTTGATCAGTGTAGATTTTGAAAAAAAAAAATGCAATCACTGCTGCAAGGCAACATTTCGAAACTTTCTTGAGAATTTATGGATGTAAAGTAAATACTGAATGAAACAGAATTTAAAAAGTTCAATCCAAGTATTAGAATAATGGACGGAAATTACAGTAAAGATATATGGAAGCTTTAAATCTATAATTGAAGAGAGAGAGAGAGAGACAGAGGGAGAGAGCTCGAGAAGAGAAGAGAAGATATCACTACCAATTTATTTAAGACCAGCTTTAGAGAAGAGGTCTCCATCTCGACAATTCGTATACATGTATGAATTAATAGTCTCAAATGACCAATATTACTATAAAAAGTATGCAAAAATGCTTTCAATACAAATCGCGCCAAAAAAAAAAAAATCGATTTGCGGTATGATTCATTCCGTTTGCCAAACAAATCACACTAAAGTCCCATAAATGTCGCTGAGTGATTTCAATATTTACTTTCAGAACTATATAATGGATTGTGCAAAATATTCACTAGACAGTCTTGTATATTTCCAAAGCGACCCTGCATGTCAACTAAATGCTCGATTTATACCTCAAACGGCATTCTTATATATCTATAATTAATATATCAAATAGCAACTGCGTTCAGAACGAAATTTATTTCTAGGAATGGAAACTTGATACATGTCTTTAGGGAAATCACTGTTAAGGAAAAATCTATAAGAATTAGATTCCCTCGAGCTTCTATATACCTCAGAAGCTATCTTCTTTTACACTTGCCGAGAGAAATCAAATTGTCTTTTTTTCTGCATTTAACCAAGTCTTAAAAAACCCCCATTATTGTACATTCTGCGCTTGAATTACGATGTTGTGAAATGGAATCTCTAAGGTCTTTTTATCTTGTTAGATTTTCAAACATTGTCGCCTCTTCTAGACTAATCACTTCTTCACCCACAAATGTAGTTGTGATCTGAGCTTTAGAGTGTTTGAAATAGACTGATGCTAGACATTAAATCATGTGACCTTTACAAAGGGTGACGTTTGCAGTTCGAATTCTCTCGGGAAGGTGTTTCGTGTTTTCGTGTTAATGGAGAAATCATATGTGTGAGCATTATCTTACAGTGCTCGATCATCTTCATTGTTAATAAGTTATAAAATCAATACGAATTATTCCGAATGCCATCAGAAGCATGGAGAACTAATTGCAGTTTATAGGGTGTTGGAAGATACCGCCATGATAGTTAACTTTAAGTATCAAGTTACATTAATGGCTGAAGAATATATTGACATTTACGCATCACTCCCAGTTTTTGGAGTTGTATTATATTGGGAAATTACAATCAAGCACTAGTTCTTAGCAAAAGTAAGAAGGGAATATAGAAAAGGGTAAAATAGATGACGAATATTTGTGTCTCAAAGCAAAGAAAGTGTCATTTCAAACAAGTATCTCTAATAAATACAAATGTGCACTTAATATGTGTATAGGGAAGAGTCAAAATCAGAAACAGAAGTGTCTGGGAGATATATATCCAGCCGCAATCATCAGGTTAAATAAAATTTGTTTTAAGTTACTGTACTGACATTGAAATGCAAGAAATCAATTAATTAGGTATCCATCTAAATTGAAAAGGGCAAAAAGCTTGGATAACGAGTTTCCTGGTAAAATTACCAGACCGAGTTGTAGTTCTATTTATAGAAGAGAGAGATATAAATCAAGTCATTTTAGCCAAGGACTCCAATAGAATATCACTTTGCAAAGTTTTTAATATTATTACTGTCAAGCCTTGTTGTGTTCCCTAGCAAATCATCCGTGTTAATGAAACAATCAATTGTACCTTTTTATGAGTTGTAGATATAAATGTTAATTCGATTTCTCTCAAAATTCGTCCTGAAAATAATGCGTCCGGAAAATAAAGCGTCCAGAATAGGTGCTTCCGTATTACCAAGGCTCGACTGAATATTGCTAAAAATATTAGTAAAATATTTTCAGGTACCACGAGGATCACCAGGAGTCCATTCCAGATTTAAGGAACAACAAACGATACAGCAAGAAAGTGTTCTTTGATGGTTTCAACTCTTCGGCATACAGAGGATAAAAAAATATAAGGAATTGTGAGCTCCTCTGTATTTAAAAAAGCGCTGTAAGGATTTAAATAAATTATGCATCAATATATGTGATTTTTTTTTTATATTTGTCAGGCGAATTAATCAATTAAAAATACAATTCTCAGAAGAAAGGTATGGTCGAGAAATGTTTTAATCAATTAAAATAATATATTTTTAACAACATTTTGACAATTTTCCTGTTGTGTTTACTAGTAACAAACCATTGCCAAAAAGCATATAATTAACCTCCAATCAAAATAATGAAAACAAAGATGTTCTGTTTGCATGGAGTTATTCAATACTGGTTTTGATAACGCAAAAAAAAAAAAAAAAAAAAAAAAAAAAAAAAATGTGACAAAAGATTAAATTAAGATCGGGGAACCTCATGTGTTTTTTTTCTAAAATAACATCTCAACAAATGAAAGAAAAACGAAAACGTTATAAAAATCAGCTTTGGTTTATCAATGGTTAACGTTTGATGCATGTTATAAGAAGAGGCGTATTACTTTTGTTAAAATTCAAATGAAATTTCAGTCCATCGCAACATCGCTTTGGCTTATATTCGATGGCTCCATTTTCTGGTCCTGGCTCGACCTTCTGTTTTTCAGTAAAGCACCTTGTTGAAATTTCATTCTTTGGCTGTAAAGAATTCAAAGAGACTTTCTAGAAAAAAAAATAATTAAGAAGCAACAATAACTTTTTTCTGATATCCTTTTGGATACTCGGTAATTTGGATGTCGTTGATATTATTAGTTTATTTACTGTATGCTTGATGTAAAATCATTAATTTTCTGGGGGTTTAACTTTTGTTGTTTTCATTGTATGAAGGGGCCCATGAATTAGACTTTCTAGAAAAAAATAATTAATAAGTAAGAATCATTTCTCCTGATATCCTTTTGGTAACTCAGTAACTTGGATATTCTTAAGTATATTTATTGTATGCTTAGTAAAAAAAAAATCATTAATTTTCTGGGGGTCTTACTTTCGTTTTTTTCATTGTATGAAGGGGCCCACGAATTCTTGTCCTCCATAAAACGTTAAAAGTACAATTAAAAACAACTCCTAACTTCTTCAACCACAAAATCAGAAAAAGAAATTTAAAAAAAAAAATCAATTAATAAATAAATCGATATTTTTTCCCTTTTACCACAAAAAAAAAAATTACCACACAAAAATAAGTGATTTTACAGCATTTCCAGATAATATATGAGGTACATGTATCTTTTACTTATAATAAGGCTGTCTAAACTTTATGTATCAGAACCCTTTATATTCAGCAACAATGCGATTTCAGTAGAGTATTTAAAAAAAGAAAACACCAACTTGTAATGCAAATGGCACGTATTTTTACCTACCATACATCTAAATACATAACCAAACGCATGATTTACTGGATATACTGCTACGTCTTCGTATGATTCACAACACCGGAAGGAAGAACAGGGAATTGTGGGAGGTGCAGCATAGGCAAGGGTCCCATTACAGCATGGACCTTCGACGGACTTTGGCTCTGTATCGTCCCAGACCTGTGGAAACGGAATCGGTATCAAAATAAATTTCATTTGGATCAACAGAGATGTGCATTAATCAACACTGATTAACAGACAAAACTTGCCCTAAAAATCACATGTACCCACCTTTGCAGTTGAATGATTAGTACAAGGTTAAAATTAAGAAAGGACGAAAAAGGATTGTTGTAGGAGTAATTCCTAGGATCTGCAACTGTTGTAATGGTAGCTGGGAGAAGACATTTACTATTGAGTATTCATTTATTTTATCGAACTCTGAAAATAGTTTTTCAATACATTAAGGAAATGAAGATGTTGTATTTGCAGCTGTACATCTTGGAAGATTGGGAGCATTTAAATAGAAATGAACTTTGTGAAAGGTTCATGTACTCAGCTTAAACTTTATAACGACAGGAATAAGATTGGCATCGTATTTAATAGCAACAGGAGCCAATTAACAATATGGAAAGCATTCAGGATTAAAACATTTCACAAACTTTTTTTAAAACGACGTTACGTGATATGATTTACAAACTAGGTTCTTTGTTTGCTCTCAGGGTCAATACTTACTATATATGATAAAACATATACTGCTTTTGTGTTTAATTTGAGATAAAGGTGTCATGGCTTGCAATAATTAACATAAAGAATTTTAAAATACAAAAACCACCTACTTATTACATGTACATTGATTTCTTCAATTTACAATTAATGTTTGTCATGTTTGAAAGTTTAGATCTATGTTCATAATTAAAATTTTTTTGGAAAGTGGAAATATGAGATATAATTTGAGTAAAACAACCACTCCATGACCTCTAGATCAATATGTAGAAAAACAGATTTACCATTCTGATTATTTTTCAACTTCGTATGATATCCATAGGAAAGATATTACATGTAATAAAGCTTTTTCATTTTGAGTTTTACCTTGGACTTTTAATTATAAATTGAGCTTTTTTACTGTTATTTCACACATCTAATCATCCATCTTGTATACTGTAGCCACAGTATTGAATTGAACATATTTTATTGACAAAGAGTCAAAAGGATTAGACACAAGTTTCAAAACTTAGATAGTCTTCTCCTTATACAACATTTTGTAAAATTGCCAAAATAAAATGCATACATACAAACATACATACATACACACATACATATACATACATACATACATACATACATACATACATACATATATATATATATATATATATATATATATATATATATATATATATATATATATATATATATATAGTCTACTACATATACATAGTAGCAATAGAAAGAAAATAAGATCTTTAAATGTACAAATATAGATTTACAATGGTAAAAAATTAAGCTTTTTTAGAAAAACGACCATATTCATATAGAAAAGTTTGAATAATCTTAAAATTCTTAAAAAATTCAGCATTTTGTTCAATAGTAAGAGAATCATCACTCCATAGCATTAAATGTACATCTATAACATATAAATTAATAAATGACAGTGGCTTAATCATTAAGGAATTCCTTGCATTTGCATAATTTTTACAAGCAAAAAAAAAACAGATGGTATGCATCTTCTAGTAGTCCTCATGAACAATTTAGACTAGATATTAAGTTAAAATAAGCTACAGTAATAATAATATGAGTAGTAGTAGTTCAGCCACCTTTTTAAAAGCTTTTCACAGAAGTTTTAGATGTTAGTAAAACTACTTCAAACAGAATCTTAGTTAAAATTTAATCTTCCCTATTAAGATTTTAGCTATAAGTTTAGCTACCTTAGATTTTAACATCATTTTTTTTTCTTACATATATAAGTAAAGCTTTTTATCATTTAATCTCCTCCTTCCTAGATTTTTAGCTTTAAGATAAATCTGATTTTATTCATTTTAACTAGTTACCATTTCTTCAGGAATAAATTAAAGTTAACTAGTTAAGCATTTTAGTTATTATTTAATTTTTCCTCCCAAGATTGTAAATATTAGATAACCTGTCTTACTTAAGGTTTTATGCTAGACTTTTATGTACACGTAAAAGTTAATTCCTTACTTATATCACTGTTCATAAGCTTAGCTGCATTACTAAAATTTTCAGTTATCAGTTATAAGCAGCCTTAGGATTTTTTGTTGAAGAAAAAGCAACATGATTAATGCTGATCCTCGGAACTCGGTATATGACACTAATGACTCAGAATTTCCTAACAAAAGTGTCAGCTCTTTGTTTAGATAATTTGTGCAGAATTCACTTTGAGAGTTATTTTGATAAACTACCGTATTAGAATCTTTGATTCATGTTCTTCTCGCATGAAAATTCCAAAATAATTGCCTGGAATCGATATAATTTGCAGCAAAGATTACATTTAATCAGCCTTATTCTTTTCTCAGTGAATGTTCATGAACGTGAAATTTTGCTATTATTTGAATTAATTGTGACTTTTGGTGAATGTCGTATTTTAGCAAAATTTGAAGAAAGGGAGATAAATTGCAACTTTAGAAAAATTATTTTACGGGGACGAAGGCATTTATATTCAGAACGGTTGTAAAATGGATTTATTTAATTTGGTAAAAAACTTAAAACTTTACACATGTTTAGTATTGGCCATACAGTTAAACGAATATAGTTAAAGAATAAAAGCATTCAGTTATGCACTTATTCTCCTTCTTAACATAAAACCCCATAAATCAACAAAAGTATAGATCAATTTTACTGCTTTTAATCATTTAATTGTTTTCTGTTACTTATAGAAATGTTTTAACTTAGCAATAGAACGTCTTAAGTAATTGATTGCAAACGAATTGTTGTAATTTTTTTGACATTTATTAGGACTTCCAAAGATCTTTAAGCCTTAATATTTCACATATTCCTTAATACACTAGAATATGGTTTTGGTTCTCACAATTCGCTATAAAAATTTGCTTTTGTCACAAAACATAACAAATTCAATTAACATTGGACAATGATATAAATTTCTGTTTAATAGAAAATGGTATGAAATTTCAAAAGAAAACTATAATATCATTATTCATCTTTTGCATTCATAAAAATGTCGTATTACGTAATAATGACTTTCTAGCTACCAAGATCATAGACAGTCTTGTACATAATGAAATAAAATCCTGTGTTTTGAGCAAATTAATTACTATTATCATGTTATGAAGCGCAGCCACTGATGTAATCATGGAGGCTCAATGCGTTTTACGATCCCGAGGCAAATGTAGGAAGGGAACCTGAGTGGTTGTTTAGCAGCCATGATAGATTTACGAGATGCAATCTGCAGCAGAATCTCACGACCCGTATCAAAAGCAACCGTTCGTTAAACGTTATTCAGAGAAATTAAATTCGCAGAACACTTTAAAATGAAATCGATGCGAAATATCTATTTGACACTAGAGAGCATTATGGGTAAAATTGTAGTCGCATTGCGAGAATTAAGCATTTAATGTTGTTGTCTCTTTGTATGCCTTACATACTTTACAACTTTACTACATGTAAGGCTGACTTAACGTAAATCTATAAGATTAATGAAAATTTTAGTACAATTGTTTTCTTAAAGTGCTCTCGACAAGCCTGAATTTTACATGTATATACGAAATATACATTAAAATCAATATGCAACCGATCTCATGTAGTGTTGATTCAAATCATGAACCCATGGGGTAGGGTGGGGCTACAGTATATCCAAGTTTTGCATCTAGGTCTATAGGAACTAACCTTCAAAGAACAGTGGTACATAAATGAGTCTTTTTTAAAATGCAAGCATCCCCTGGCAGTGAAAAAATGAAATCTGGTGGGGTTACTGTAGGATATCGAAGTTTGCATGGAATAAATTGGAAACAAAAGCTAACTTGAATCGCCTTGGCCCTGCTGTCCTCAGTACATATTTTCTTTTTTATTTTCATGACCCCCTCACCCCCCAAAAATGATTTAAAGAGGCAATTTATATTGATTTAACCAAACATTGGAGTGCCTCAATATGACTAACATTGCCTTAATGATAAAAGTTAACCCTTAGATTCCTCTAGCCGAAAGATGTTTTCTGGCAAGTTTTGTTGAAATTCGTTTGGAAAAGTCGAAAATGTTGAAAGTTAACAGGCGAACAGACCGACAGACAGACGCTACACAAAATGTTTACAGAAAAGCTCATTTGAGCGTTCAGCTCAGGTTGGCTAAACTCGTTAATAATCGTGTTTTAGAGAACAACAGGGAAATGATTAGTTACACTAATATACAAGCAGCGTCACACAGTTAGTGAAGATACAAGTTTGTTCAAATCATGGTACCCGGCGGAAGGATGGGGCTACAATAGAGGGTGACTTTTCAAATGGGATATGACAGGAAAAATATATATTAAAGAAAATTAAAAAAGTAACAGAACCACAATAAATCATATTATTATGCAAACTTGCATAAGTTGTATGGATTCAATTTTTTAAAATTTTGGACCCTTGGGTTAGGATGAGCTAACGATGGGGATCAAAGTTTAGGAAAGAAATATTCGCTCTCACAGGAAAAAAAAAACAATTAAAATTTGCGGTGAATCTGAAAAGACAGTCAGATGAAGGAATTATAAATGTATTTGCTTCAAGTGTTTATATTTTTTTCGCTTTATATTTATGAACCGTAAATCTTAAAGGTGCAAATTTTTGTCATGGATGCTGAAAAAATAAGACCAGAGTATTTTTCAGATATAAAATTCTTCTTTTTAAAAAATGATCACATTTTTATTAAAAATATCTCAGCATTTTGTTCAGTTCTGAGGTTGATTTTGAGAGTTGGAAGTAATTTACTGTAAGTGGTAGACAGTAAAAAATCATTTTATTATCACAGCAAAACATGTAACTGCCACCTAAATTGATTTTATTTACCATGCACACAATCGTATACATGTTAGATGGGTCATTACAAGACAAATCTAGAAATCTGAGAAGCAGATTTATGGGGACTTTGTCGCCGAGCCGTCCTTGATTCTTGTTTAGTTGAGACAGGAAGCTTTAGAAACAAATATTTATATATCAATGATTCCAAAGCCCATAAACAGTCTCACGACTTCCTCATGGAGCCTTTATAAAGATATGCCCGTGTTAACACGAATATGCCATTGAACGCTAGCACTGTCTGTATCTGAGACATATCAATTACCTAACAAAAGAAACTATATATGTATGAATACATTTTGTAACATTTGTAGGAATGAAAAATACCTCTTTCCATGCCCTCCCCTCTCACTTTCCTTATTTCTTTGAAGCCTGGATATAATCAATCTGTAATAAAACTAATCTCTTTTGCATCCAAAAATATTGAGGGGCAGCATTTTTGGCACACATTTTCTTAATTTTTTCTTAAATACCATAATGTTCCAAACCAAAGACGATTATTTTTGTTCTTCTTTTTAATCATGTAAGGGATAAAGGGCCCCAAAACGAATAAGACATTTTGTAGATACCCCTTTTTACTACAAAATACACATTTGAATCTCCATTTATCTTGCTAATCTATACATTCAAAGATTAAGTCATAAAATAAGACATCATAATATTGATACTAAACGTTTAGGGAAATGTTCAAGATGGGTATGAGTATTCATAGACATATACTGAAAGGGATTTACTTAATGTCGCACAATGAAGAAGGGTAAAGATAACGAACAGTGATCGATCTCATTAAAACTTCAAACAATACAAATCTGTGAAAATGGCATAAACACGGACCCCTGGAAATTCCAGTGGTGGGATCAGGTGCCTAGGAGTAGTAAGCATCCCCTGTTGACCAGTCACACCCTATGTATTGATCAAGTAGACAGAACATTCTGTAGTCAAATTTAGTACAAAAATAAAGATCTAACAATTGGTAGGAAACAAGTCAGCCAAAAAACGACCCAGTGATAGGTTATATTTGCTTGCAATGTCATTACATGTATAACGACCATAGAATTTTCGGAATACTGACTCTAAACGAAGTTGATGAAATCCCTGTAACATCAACTGTACTGGTATCTGTGAGTAGCCTGCCTTGGTTTAAAACCTGGACATACTCAGAGCATGCTCTTGAGTAGTGAATAAGTTGGGAGACATAAACACCATATGCAGGTGACAGCGGAATATCACTACATAGTTGACGATGGAAAAGCTGAAATCATCTCGTTTGTCATATAATTTAGTTGTTAGTTGGCCTTTGTCGTGTATAGTCGGTAAAACATCCAAATATGCCGCAGATATGCCAGACTATGTGGTGTCTTTTATTTCAAGTTCACTGGGATAAATCGAGTCGGCATATAAATGGAAATAACCATCGTTAATTGATAAAACGTCGTCGATATATCTGAATGTCGGGTTGAAGGCCACAGCAAGTGCTTGCTTCTCTTCATGTAGAAGTTTTTTAAAAATAAATTCTGCTTCATACCTATATAAAAACAGATCGGCTAATAAAGGAGCACAATTAGTGCCCATTGCAATTCCAACAGTTTGTTGGAAGACTTGGTTTCCGAAGACTACATACAAGTTGTCAATGAGGAGCTCCAGCATCTTTTTAATATCAGCTTCAGAATACTCGTGTGTAGAATCAGAGTGATTTTTAACAATGTAATTTTGTTGATGACCAATCACAAGATGTGAAAATATCCCTTTTTATTGAAGAAGCAGTTGTGTATGATATCAAAAAGCCTAGTTTTTAATTTATCTTGAGGAATTGTTGAATAAAGTGTAGAAAAGTCGTACGTTTTGATGTTGTTGACTTTTGGAAAATTTTGAAATTTCAAATTTTCTAAAAGGTCTTAAGAGTTTTTGAGGATTCACATCAGATTTACACAGATGAATATCACCTCAACGGATATGATTATCGATTTTTAAGAACATTATAAGCTTATATGTTCGAATCAAAATGGTATCAGTAAAGAATAAATTGTATTAGAGACTTTCATTAAAAAGATACCTTCCTCAAATTATTCTTTTTACGGTAAATGCTCTTTTTTTTTTTTTACACCAATAGACATGGAAAGCGTCGTTCAGGCTATTTAAAGATATAATAAAAAAGGCATGAGAAAAGATTACACTTGTGTACAGTGTATAAAGCAGCTTTACAAATTGAATATGAAACGATCTTTAAGTGAAAATAAGTTACTATTAATAAAACTGTACAGAAACAAGCACATGAAATAAATTTTAATAAACGTTTAATTTTTAAATAAGTTTTACAACGATGTAATAGTTACGAAATTTTTTGAAGAATTTATCTTCACTCATGTTTTACCAATATTCAGGGTTGTGTAAAACATTTATCTTCACTTAAGTTTTAGCAAAATTCCATGGTTATCTAACCTTGATGATCAGATTACCAAATTACTAAAATAAAACTTTCAAAATAAAAGCAAATAATATCTCAAATATACTTGAGTTTGTTGCTGTTTATATTAACTTAATTAATAATCTGAATTGCACTTACTGTGCAAACCTTAATGAACAATATAAATACATATCAATTTGTTTTATATATACATTAAAATAGACTGATATGTTTTCTTTCTTTAAATCTATTATGTTTTTCGATTGAATTTTTTTTTTAAATAGATTACTAAAGATTTCTTAATTTCTTTTCAAATTTCCTTAAATACATTACTCAAGATTTCTTAATTTCATTTCAAATAATTCCTCAGATCAAAGAACGTCCACCTGTAAATCTTCAAATACACACACACACTTTCTCTCTTTCTCTTTTTACCTCAAAATGTTTCATAGTAACTGTTATGCAATGCTAGTTATCAATATTGCTAGAATGGTTAAAAATTAAAAAAAAATGTGTTATAGAGGTCAAGAAAAGGAAAATGTTTTACCACTTATTTTAGTGAACATAAGAGGCATCTGATTCATTATATACTTACGGTTAACGAAAGGTCGATACAGATGATAACATCCAGAAACAAGGATCGGATATCCATCTCAGCACAACAGATGATTGCAGTGAGCTATATATCTAAATATTGAACATTCTCAATATTTAAACCCACTGTGAATGCGTTATTGTTCAAACTTCAAAAATATCCATTGTCAAAATTGATGTCCAAGTAAATTTTGAATTTCATCAAATGTAAAAGCAAACGGGTTTCATATATAGTACGTGTACGATGATAAAGTTTATTTCAAACACTTGTTCAAATTTCTTCATTATCTGGCCACACGACTGATGAATCATTTTCTCTCCAATAAAATCCTCATGTAGTCATTTAAATGATACTCTCTGCTAAATGTTTGTAGCAGCTGAGGTTTTATCCAATATCTGCCTACATATCAGAGAAAATAATTCACTTTGGCTTCTAATGCCTTTCAAGTGTCATCAATGGGGAATGTTGTCTAGTACTTAATCAGTCTCCTCTTGACGACATCTAGGAACTTGACAAGCTTCTTTGCGTACGTATACAGGGAAGTAAAATGCGCTTGTTTCCATATCGCTGAAGTGAAATCAAAGTTTTTTTTTCTACTCACAAGGTCGTCGAACATCTTCTTGATATATCTTAAAAGATACGTTGATCGTGCTAGTTTGGGTTTCGTTAAATTAATTATATCCACTTAATTACCGATAAAATTGCTGAGCACTTTAGCCGATTTCAGAAGTACAAGCGTCCTCGAAAGTATATTCCTGCTTACTAGACTCTCATTTAGGCTACAAGGAAGACTGTTCATACACACCAGTTTAATACAACTGTTGAGGTTCTAATGGTATTTGTAGAAGGAAACACAGAAATTCAATAGAAAGTTACAATCATTTGGTCTCTGAATATCCTCATAGCAGTAATTAAGCCAGTGTAATGAAATCTTTACAGAATTACGATATCTACTATAAGGCCGCTGTTATAGTGAAACTAAAATGATAGTATCAAGGGGTGAATAGTAGTCGCAAAAATTTACAATGGAAAAGAACCTCTTTGAAATAATCAATATGGAGTCGGTGTTAATAGCGCCCAATGAAGGGCAATAAAGAGATGAAAAAATGTCCCGAGAAAGGTTTATTGTAATCATTCGTATTAAGCCGTTATACCGTAGATCCTTTTCACGAATAGTTAGAAGAAACTTGTAGACAATACATTATTCCTTTATTGTAATGGGCACCAACGCTAATTGAATTCCTCTCGTTATTTGCGATAATGATACATTTAGAAGGATATTTTTCATTGGAGGAAACCACTACGTATTGTACGAACGTAGAACTGAAAGGAAGTATAATTGTCACTTCGAGGAATTCTTTTTCATATTCTTACTTACTACATGTAACTTCGTGATTTAATTCACAACAATATTTTCTTTAACTTTTTTAGCCGGGAAAAAAACTTGCACGGTTATAAAGGTTATGCTTCAATTAAAAATATAACTTCGCTTAAATTTCGTGAAAGATATTTTAATCCATTCACATATTTTACCTCGTCTGGAATTGTATCAACTTGACATGTGTATGAAAAATTCGACATTTACCGTAAAGAAATGTAGGTATTAAAAAAAAGAGAACATAATCAAACGTATTCATTATGTTACTGTGAGTCTTTTTTAAAAAAAAAAAAAAAAAAAAAACAAACAGTCTATGCATCGTCACAATGATCTTGTTTGCTAACACAACCTTAATTCAGATTAAGCAGAACAAAAACCAAGTTAATTGCAAATTAAATATGATTCTTCTATTATCTACCGTGTTTCATCACTCCCGCGTAACTGTTCTCTTTTCGTGATCATAACATTTCAGGAAACGCCTAAGACGATTCTGATTGGCTGCTTTTGCAGAAATTACAACTCGGTGTTTATGACTATGATGCAGGTTGTTTATAAACATTTACCATTCAAGTTTAATTATTTAATCCTTGAATTTTCCCTTGTATTTTTATTTTGATAGATCATCGGGGAATCTTTTGTATACTAACTAGATAGGAAACATCTTCTGGTCAGATGTTTATATCACCAAAACAAAACACAAGTCCATTTTTATATTGGGAGAAACAGTTTCCATAGCCAGTGCTCCTTAACAATCGGTTTTTTAAACTTGGCTTTCTTAATCTTTTTAATTTTAAATTGGCACTCGGCAAGCCTCGTGCCTCTTGCAAATTAAAAAGAAAATTAAGGTACCCGACTTCAGAAAAAAAAAAAAAAAACCTGTGACTAACTTGAACTTGTTACGGATCCTACATTGCTAGTAGAGACGCAAAAGACTATGTAATTACTTGGATGTTATAGCACTGGAGTATCACAAGCTTAAATAATATATACTGAAACGCAAAAGAAACGCAACAAACAGTAATCTACAAATATTTGAACCTTTTAACTAATGATTTTCAAAACTGATTACAGTTGAGTTAAACTCGATTTAAAAACATCAGAGATTTGATAACAATGTTAAATGATTATCTTTTAACTTTAGAAAGTAACACATGGCTGTTAAAACACCCCCCTTCTCAGCCATTGAATTATAGCGTGGAAGACTGCCATGCACAACAATTGCAGCTTGATTTCCACGATGCAATAGGTTCATCAATCTCGAGATCTGAGCGAAAAAAATATTCTTTGCCATTTTTAAATGTCCGTTTTTCAGATGACGAAGTCGAATTTTCTCTAACCTAGCGCAGTGTAGTAACACTTGGACTTCCGGTCCACGGACTATCATTCATGCAAATGATACGTATGAGCCTGTTGAGGCGTGTTGTTGTGCATTTTTGCATCTGCAATTCTCCATCACCTTTATTTTCAGATTTTCCAGCTAGAGCATTTGAAATGCATACTTACATGTAAGTCATTTTCGGGAAGCCTTGACATCTCTTCCGGAAACGAAAGAAGAATTTATTTTGCGGAATATTGCTGCATTACTTATGATAAACAGATACAAACCCTTAAAACCCCATATTTTTGTCAAATGTTTTGTTAAACATGCAATATTTGATTTCTGTTAAGCGGGCTCAAACTTAACTTCCGGTTATGGCATGAAAATCATTCCACCGTTAAATTATCGATACTTACAATGTTGAAGATATCCCTACTTTTTAGATACAAAATTATATCCTTTATATAATTTTCCCCTCTAAAATAGGATGTTGTGTTTCTTTTGCGTTTCAGTATATAATCAATGCACATGAAGCTACACATTTGGAAAATACGTTTAATTTCAGTGTAAAAGAGTCCTGCTTAAAATTAACCAATTTTTCTGTCAAAGTATTTTGTATATAAATCGTCTTTGGTTTTTAATATTATGAGGGCTATCCCACCATGTCAAAACAGGAAATGAAATGAATTAAAAATGAGAAGAAATTAAGGAAAAATCTAACAAAAGGGAGAACATTTTTCAAAATTTGTCCTTGACAGCACTATTATTGACCTGCTTTCATTCCTCGAAGAATTTTCTTCTTTAAATTCCTTTTAAACATTTCAAAATTACAAAATACAAATATTCTAGGTAAGGTGGTTTTGTTGATAATGACGTTGTAAAAACCAATATAGAAATATTTCATTCTTAATTACATCTTTTACAACTCCATTCTTGTCACACACATCTTGTTATTCATATTTTTCAGACAATTTATACTGCAATGTTTAAATCAAGATATATTTTGGGGAAAAAATTAATCAAAAGTAGTATAAATGACTTTTACGAAATCAATAAGGAATCAGATACGCAAATAATTTCATTGCAACTGTCTTGCTTAGTAAATTGGAATTCAATGCCTCTACGAATAATATTTATCTTTAGTTTGTATTTACCCATTTATGCTATGGATTCCTCTTCTTAAATAATATTAAAACAAATTGAATAGACTGAAATTAAATCAGGAGGTATTGTAATTTTCCGTCTCGAAGTACAAGAGTTCTATCCTTGGTAATAGAAAATTTGTGCAATAATTCGAATCTTCCATACGGTTAGTGTCCCTTAACAAGCTAAGTTAATGAACTTCGTGACAAGGCTTAAACATCGAGTATTAAAGGACACGCATTGGGAATTAAGGCATTCCAGTCTAAATAACAACCAAGACAAGGTCTCTATAGAAAGGATTATCGAATTCATTGCAAAAAGTGCCGAAGGAGTCCTTCACAGATTACCAATGTAGAACTGATTCTAAGTTTAATAAAAATCTATCATGAATCCTGTACAGTGATTTGTTTATTACTACAAAATTATGTATCGATAATTTTTTTTATCAAAAAAAAAAAAAAAAAAAAAAAAAAAAAAAAAAAATTAGAAAAAAATAATGAAAAAAATAATATCAACAAAACTCTACTGGTAGACTATCATTTCTTAGAAATTTCTATCATGTCCTAAAAGCTGGCCCTCGGCTTTCTTATTCGGGGATAGTTATAAGTGAATTAGGCTCTAAACGCCCAAAAGGATAATTTTGCTGCTAGACGTATTTAGAGATTATGAAAAGAGAGTCAATTTTCATTAACGGACACAACAAGTTTAATTGGTGTCCTGTTCTACACCTTCCTCTGTTTACAACTTTACCGTACTTTACCGTATACCTCCTGCCAGCCACATTGACTATAAAGAAAAATGAATTGCGTATCATTAAAAAAAAAAAGAAAGCCAAGATATCTAAACGATTCCTACTATAAAATATACGAATAAAGACTTTCAAGATCCTTGGTTTAATTGGCTAGCAATAAAATGATACGACGAAAGAGTCTCACCGGGCAGCAGCTTATCAATGGACATTCAGAGGAACTGTTTTTTTTTTTTTTATTTTGCTTTTCATGGTATTAAGATTTATAAGATTTGATCTCAAATTTTCATACTTACAGAATAATCCTTTCCTGCCTGGAGATTTGAAAGTTAATATCCTTAAAATGACAAAACAAAAGCTATTATAGAATGGTCATTAGAAAAATTATTCTCCATTGCTTTTTGACAAACCTTTCCTGAAATAGACTCTGCCATTTATGCAAGTACTCTTAATAGAGAGTTCGAGATCTTAAAGTTGTACACCTACGTGTACATATTCTTTGACGTACACTTACACGTTTTTTTTGTAATTTGTCTATTGAGATTTAAATGACGTGTAACATGAACGTGTACATTGCTCATGAAACTAAACATCCTAAATAATGTACAGCAATGTACCTGAACTTTATTTCCCTAATACAACGATAAAAACTACATTGTTAGATACAAAAAAATGCAAATTTTAACCTATCATGATATGCTAGGAAGAATATTATACTATTTTGGGCATGTTATTTTGTGAGAGAATTTTTCCCGCCCTGAGTCAACATCATGCTTCAACATATTATGTTTTAATTTTTTTTTATTTTACTCTCTCCCTCTGGATTCATTCTTTACGCATACATCTGTACCAATTTATGATCTACTTAAAATACTACTTTTCAGTGTTTGAATGTACCAGTAATTGTTATATGTACCTTAACCCAAGGGGAGAACGATTTTAAGCATTTATAAATGCCTTCTGTTCAATCCTATTCATGTATAATGAACAAAATATATTTAAACCAAAATGCAAGGAATTAGACATTCAAAGCATGTTTGGAATATGATCCACCATAAATTCGGTGATGTCTCGTCGTCTTGTCCTTGTAGGATTATTTTGAAAATAACGAATAGCAATCAAGATCGAAAATCAAATTAATATTACATATTGAAAGTGGAGCAAACACAGACTCCCTGACACATCAGGGGCTGGATCAGGTGCCATTGAGGAGTATGCATCCCATGCCGACTGGTTACGACAAATATGAACCCTCTATTTT